ACACACACACACACACACACAAGCCGGGTTTCCGGTTGTTGCAAGTAAAGACAGAAAAGAAAGTTTAAATCTGATCCAACAGCTGGTTTAAAAAAATAAACTAGGCTTCACCGTTTCACCAGAAGGTGGTGCTATAATCTACGTTTCCAACCTGGAAGAAGAAGAAACAAGAGAAAGTGAACGTTGTGGGAATAAACTCAAAGATTGTGGAGACAGTTTTCTTCCTCTTGCTCTTCCTCTTCCTCCTCTTCCTCTAATGATGCTCACAACGTTCTAATGCGATACTTTTAACATTACATGAGAACATTCACCTTCATCTTCAGAGAAGGTGGAGTCAGACAGCAGTCACTACGAGTCATACGGTGATGAAGATGAGGAGGAGGATGAGGGGGAGGAGCTGGTGAAGGACAGAGCTCATTACATCCAATGGAGCGCCTCTCAGCCCTGCCTAAGACCCGCCCCTGAGTCCCGCCTCTGTGGTTACCTGTGGAGGAGGAAGTGGCTCGGACAGTGGACCAAACAGCTGTTCATCGTCCAGAACCATGAGCTGCTGGTGAGCGCCCCCTGCTGCCACAAGTGTTCATGAGTTCTGTCTGATTGATTAATGTGGTTTTTATCTGCAGTCAAACGTATAAATCTCCGACCACGTAGTCAGAGTACCAGTTGATATTACCCATGATCCTCTGCTTCCTGAACCACCAAACTGTTCAGAGTTCTTCATGTTTGAAAGTTTCTGCTGAACGTTGGAGATAAACTCTGGTTGTTAAGAACTGATCTCAGTTCAGCTTCACTCTTCCACTGGAGCTGATGGAGACTCTCAGTCACTTGTTCTCTGAGGAGATGAACCCACTCAGCAGAGTGAGAGAACAGACGCTCAGGGAGCGAAGGAGGAGACGTTCTCCACCTTCACTCATCAGACTCACTTTAATCAAACTGAGGTTTAAGGTAGAAAAGTAATTTTAAAGTTTTAAAGTCAAAGCTGTGGCAGAATTTTGAGCTGCAGTTCTTTTATTGTCCACTAGATGCAGCTGTGATCAAACTATGACAAGGCGTCGTTCAACAGACTGTAAATAACTATGTACGACACGACAGCTTCCAAAAGTGAAGCCAAATCATTTCGATCTCCACTTTGTGTCTGGCTGCAGTAAAGGTCATGGACCAAACTAAAAAATCAAAGTAGTGAAATAAAAGTTTGTCAGAGATGTTTCTGTCGTTTCAGCTCGTTCTCTTCTCTCTGATGTTTGTTTGCTCATCAGTTTGGTTTAATTAGTTATTTGATGATATAAAAACAGGCGGAGACGTCATGATTGACAGCTGAGACTGTGTATGGGCGGGATCTTGATACCACGGCTCCACCCACAATCCCTACTGCACAGACTCATAATGACATCATCACCACTACCTGAGATATTTTAGCTTCATCTCTGGAGGAAGTGTGTCGTCGTCGTTATTTACAGTCTTTGATCTGTGCAAATCAAAGTCACTGAGTCTCTGCCTCACTCTCTGTGTGTGTCAGTGTTATAAATGTGCTCGGGACCTGCTGCCTCACCTGGAGCTGAACCTGCGCGGCTGTCAGCTCGTCTACAAGTCCAAGAGCAACAGGAAGATCCAGCACCAGCTCAAACTGGTTCTGCTGGGCTCCGACACCCTGGTGCTGGGATACAGCAGCTTCCAGCAGGCCGACGAGTGGAGGAGGGTCAGCAGCACAGCACACATCCCACACTGCCACTCACAGAGAAGCACATTCAGCTCTTCAAATAACCTTTGACCTCTGACATAAAATCACATTTCAGATATATAAAGTTGTCACGTGTTTCTAAAGAGAAATCATCAAGAGTGAAGGATTAAGTGTTATTTTCAAGCGTTACCCACGTCAAAATGCTACGACCTGGAAGACGGAGAATCTTCACAGATATTTAGTGACCTCTAGTGGTTAAGTTACATATTATAACCAACTAGACCCTGAGGACACGAGAACCTTCGCGATGCTTTAATTCAGGAACTCAGGAGAAGTCAAATAGAGTCTGGACATTTTCTGTAGTTAGTGTTTCTCATGTGCAGAAGCAGCGAGAGATTGTCATCACCTCATCCAGAGAAAAAGTACAAACAACAGTTTAGTGAATCTTCTTTTTCTGTCCTCTCTCACGAGTCTTCTGACAACCCTTCAGATTTATCTGTTTTCCATTTTGTGTCCATATGTTGGGACTAATATAGCTGTTGATAAAGTATTGAAAACTAGTTCTGTGAGTGACGTGAGCTCTTCTTATAATAATAATAAGACCTTTTATTTTAAGGCGTCTTTCAGAGCACTCACGGTCACCTTACCCGGCAGATAAAAACACAACAACATAAAAAACATCAATCAAATAATTAAAATGAAATGAACAGTGAATACAAATGGAAGACAATCATCCTGAAAAGTTTAAAAAGATGAGTTTTTACCTGTGATTTCTTCCACTTTCTGTTTTATTTCAATAGTCACTCATGAATATTGTAGCTCAGGTGTAAATATTGTATGTGAATATATATTTGACTGTGTGCAGGTGATAGAGGAGGTGAGTGTTGGAGGTGAAGAGGAGATTGATCGATCATCATCTCTGATTAGATCAGAGCAGCTGCTGTCCTTCAGGGTGAGACACACACACACAAACAACCACACACAACCACACACACACACACACACACACA